AATACCGAATGTGTATTTCAGAGTTTAAAGAGATTGAATAAATCTATTACAAATCAGATTTAGATTAGATGTCGACTTTGGGCTTAGATGTGGACGCCTGTATAATGTACAACACATAAAAGCAAGAAAGCTAGCGAATTCAGGAGGCACAAAATGCAAGTGAACAATATAGCGACAATTGCTAAATAATATTTATGCACATTGAAATATGATTCCAATGGTATTATTAAAAAGGGCCTGGAACATTACAGGTTATGAAACCAAAAGTCCAGTCCGATATGAAAGTGGTCATTTTGTCTTGATTGCGACTTAGCAACGAGGAACGACTATAAAAGCTGGTAGCAAAAGGTGCCGCTGTAGAAGTCTTTACTGTCCTATACCCATAACCTCCATAGTTCAGTACAGCGAGTATTTGCAGAGTTAAGTTAAGAGCTGTTGCAATCTTCTTCTTTTACTGAACTGTTCTAATCGTGTTCTGCGGTAGCCAAGTCAAAAAAGAATTAATCAGTTTTTGTTGTAGGTAGAATTTTGAGAATATCAGTAAATTTGGAACAATTAATTGGTCACCTTAGGTTGGCAAAGGTGACTTAGTGATTGGGAGTCCAGAAAAAAACACTTACATGTAAAATGAGTAAAGTCAAAAAATGGTAAACACATATTGTTTGGGTAAAGCCCTATCCGCCTTGAATGTTAAATATCAGTTCATAAACACCTTAAGTTTGTACGCAAAAATTTGTCAGAGTTTTAATTTTCTGGCAAAACTTCGTTGTTAAGCTATCGGATTCAGACGAAAATTGTCTTAAATTTTAATTTATTCCCATCAAGCAGAAACTGCTAGCATGTATGGTAGTACGCGGCTCATTTTGCCTCGAGCAAATATCCCATCTAAGGGCTTTAAAATCTAATATTTTCGGTTCTGACAAGCCATTATTCAGGAATGCTGAATGATTAAAAGTTTATTATTGCCTTGTCGAAATCAAATTATTTTGGTCTTCTTTTGATTTCACAGGCTCTAAATTGCGACCGCATCTGCAGACACCTTCTATGGTTGGTGAAGAAAACGCATTACCACCAGATGAGGCGAAGGTTATGGGCCTCAATCCAGGCCATCTAATGAGGCCGAAAGGGTTTACCATCTCGCAATCCTTCCTATCTTCGTATCAATCCAATCTAGACCTGATAATTGCAGAATTGCAGAGCATAACCAAGAAGATTCGAGAGGACGAAGAAGAAGGTCTGGTGGCGAAGGAGTGGAAGTTTGCCGCTCGTGTGATTGACAGATTCTGCCTAATCGTCTTCAGTCTCATCAACCTCATCACCACGTTCAGCACTCTCGTGTTGGCGCCCAATATCGGGCCATTGTTTCGAGTGACTGATAACACTACCGAGAATGGGATAGGTTGAGCGATTGTTCTCTTAGCAAAGCTATCTCGTTGGCCGGTGTTTGCCATTTTGATGGAATATGAACGAAAGTTTACTCTTTCAGATGATCGCTTTACTTTACTCAAGATGCAGCTGAGCTGTCTTAGAATTGAAGCTAGGCATTTCAAAAACGAGGAAAGGTTATAGGCAACATTAGATCAATCTCTCTTCACAACTCAGCCAAATTAATTAGAATTTAATTCTCCTTTAAAAAAAACACAGAATAAAGCCAATTGTATCTACTTCCTAATAATTTGTAATGCAAACTTTTACAACATC